AGATTTTCAGAAAACTTGACCTCTGACTTTTAGTCACATCTGAAGTTACCAAACGCACGTACCTGTCAGCGTTTTACAGCTAGAAATGAGAATAACTGATGTTCCTGCCATAATGAAACTGTCTGTATCACCACTGTTCCTGTTCTCAAGTTCCCAAAACTTAAAGATCTTCATCTTGTCCTGAAATCAAGCAGGAAGCAGTTTCCTGTCCCCCTCCCTCCCCTGCTTACATCAGCTGATCAACAGCTGATCCTTCACAGTCACTGTGGAGCTGAGCGCTTATCTGTATTTACCTGTGGCTTTAATTTAGCTGTTAGTAACATCTTAAACTGTTGGATGAGTAAACTGTAGATAGAGTCTGTTGGACGCACTCACCAGGCCGGCGGCGTACATCGGCACGATGACCGGCTGCTTCTTCTGTCCTGTGAACAGCTGAAACATGAAAATCAGACCGGTTAGGATTCAAACCTCGAGCGCAGCTGCCGCTTCAGCAGGAACGCCTTTAGTCATACCAACAAATGACCAGGAACCATCTTTTATCTACAGTCTATGTTGAAGAGTATCTGGGCGGGGCCAGTCTATCTGGGCGGGGCTAGGAGACGGCGCATTCAGAGGGCAGCAGCGTGTACTCACGATGTTTCTGGTGTCGATGCCGAGGCAGCAGAGAAGTGCTTTGTTGCAGTGGGAGCCGCCCCACTGGTATCTGAGGCCGAACGCCTCGTGGATGTCCTGAAGCTGCGTCCACACACCACCGTACACGGACCTGTGGCAGCCAATCAGACGCAGCGGAGTCAAAAACAGGGTTCATGAGTGGGAGCAGCTCCTAATGGAGCGGGAAGGGAAACACCTATGGATCACTCATAACCAGGAGGTTCGCTGAGGAGACCCTCACCTCTCGCATGACGATTTCTTCTCCTCCCCCTCCTCAGCTCCGGGGTGTCTGTCCTCAGGAGGCTCCAGGACAGCCTTCAGGGACACCACCTGGTCCTCCAGCAGTCGGGTGGCGCTCTGAGGGAAGCTGACCTGGAACAGCTTCTCCACACGGCTGAACAGCGATGCCTGCAGAGAGACGGCAGCGTCAGACTCAACTTCACAGTCTGGGCTTGACTACAGTTAAAGGGGCGCTTCACCCTCAGGTGAAGGTGATGGTGCAAAGAGCTGCTGGTTCATATCTGCTTTAACCTCGTGCTGTACGAGCCCACAGTTAGACTGGTCTTATTCACACTGTCATTCCAGTTTGCAGGTTTTTAATGGTTCATTGTTATGATGTAACGGCTGCTCTGGATTTAAGTCCCTCAGAAATGCACAATAAACATCCGTCTGTGCTGATAACCTGACAGTCTGAATGACTCCCTGCAGATGCTTCTCGCTGCTTTCAGTCTGTGTTGTGTTTACTGACTTTACATGTTTCTAATATTAAACTTTTATCACTTTGCTGCTGTTTAACTCACAGAGGAGTCGATAAACTCTGGGCCAACTTATCGAGCCGCTGTCACGTTGTGACTGGAATCCCCAGTCTTCCAGTTCCTTGGAATTCAATCAGCTGATTTGAGTTTGTGTGCCGGAGGAGGAACATAGGGGCGGTCTGCGGCGTGGACATGGACACTACTTTGATTTTTACTGGACTAAAGGACGAGATAATGATGAAACAACCGCATTATGCTGCTAACACAAGCACCTGCACAGACAGCATGCTACGCTAAGCTAGCCAAGAGCCCAGAGTGATGTTAGCTGAACTTGAACAGGTCAGACTGATGAGCAGTCTACCTGTTCATGTTTCTACAGTAGAATCACCATGACGACCGTGCTGGTTTCCATCTTTGCTTTGTGTTCATACCTAAACACTAAGAGAACGATC